CTGGGAGGAGCGATTCGTTGTATTTGTCCCCCTGGCCCGGCTGCCTGCGAGCCCGGCTGGCACCCTGTTCCTTCCTCAGGGTGGGGGGCTGGGTGGGTGCGCTCCCCGGAAAACAGGAAGGCGTGTCCGGGGTGGAGAGGGCGGCTCACCCCCTTCTCCAGCCGCGAAGGCCAGGCCTCCCGCTGGGAAAGAGAGGGTGGGAGGCTTTGTTCCCGGAATTCCCGCCTGTGGGCACCTGGGGGGCCCCCCAGTTCCCTCCCCTGGCGTGTGCCCGGCCGTGGGGAGCACCGTGTGGGGGACTTTGCCAGCCCCTCTTGTTTTGTTCATAATTTACGGGAACCACGTGTTTAGGAGCGTCTGGCCCCAAGTGAAATAGATGTTAGAGGCCGATGCTGGCCTTTTACTGACGTCACTTAGAACAACTCCGAGGGGAGCAGCTGGGGTGAGTGGGCAGTGAGGGAGGCAGGTCAAGAAGCTGGGCGGCGGGGGCACACTTCCCTCCTCCAGGGACTTCCCTCTGCGGCCTGCCCTGCCCAGGACACATGGGGTGAGGAAGCCTCAGGCTCCTACGTGGAGAATTTGGCCAATGTCAGGGCCAGAAGTTCCTGCGTCTGGCGTCTTGGGGGGCTGGGGGGAGGGGCCCAGGTGGAGGTGATCTTGCCACCCAGTAATTCTTTATTTTTATGAATATTTTATTTTCTTAAAAATATTTTAAAAAATTGATTTCATACAGGAAGGGAGAGGGAGAGAGAGAAACATCCATGATGAGAGAGAATCATTGATTGTCTGCCTCCTGCACACCCCACACGGGATGGAGCCCACAACCCGGGCCTGTGCCCTGACCGGGAATCGAACCCTGACCTCCTGGGTCAGAGGTCGGCGCTCAACCCCTGAGCCAGCCGGGCGGCTGGACTGCTCTTCCTTAATGTCAGCAAAGCACAAATGCCCCTGTCATACCCGCGGAGGCCGAGCTCCGGGCACCGGGCACCGTCTGTCCCTCTCAGATCTGCTCGAATGCCAGCTCCCGGCCTCAAGTTCTGAGTCAAAGGCAGGCTCCGCTGACGGCCACTGGGGGCCACTAGAGGAAGCAGAGGCGTGGCCGGTGGTGAAGACCTGGAGTCCGGCTGTGGTCCTGGCTGATCAGGGTCCGGTGGCCACACACACGCTCGCTGAGGGGGCACCCCTTTCCCAGGCCCAGCCGGGGGGCACCCCGGGTTGCAAGGCCCCCTTCCCCCTGACCCAC